AGCACTGTGGCTTTAACCCCTGCGCCATCAGGGAGGCCCAGAACCTAAACCTCTTGATCATTAGACATGTGTCTAGACCTGTTGTAGGGTAGGATTCTTCTTTAGGGTATAAAACAGCTGGAGTGGAACATTTTTTCAGCTACTTTCTTCCATTATCCATGGAGCATAATGATCAAGATTGTGACCTCAAGGTCATGACTGACCCAGATTCCACCTCTAAACTTACTACTAGCTGAATAGCTTGACAGATCTCAGACTTCGCTGCTGCATTAGTGTAGTGGGGTTAAAATTATGTACTGCTAATGTGATTGTGAGAAGTGAATAAGAGAGTATCAGTCTGAAAAGTTTATCTTAACGCCTGGTACATGATACTGACACTCAACAAAGCTGTGAATGTGATCTGTAACTTTATACTCACCAAGGAGCCTTAATCACTAATTTCTAGATATCTCAATCGTCTGAAACAGTGTGGAACAGATGTTTAAGTATTCCAGGAACTAAATGAGATGTCCCCATCACAAATTAATACTTCAGTATTGTAATCTAATGATACTGGTTAGCATTAACCGACCATCAAGCACCTAATCATTTCTAAGAAGCCTTGAAAAAACTGTTTCTGAAGCTGCAGTAAGGCTACAGACTCAGTTGCGCAGACCTACCAGTATTTAATGCCAGCCTGTGAGATTTCTTGAGAGTAAAAATAGATAACTTTTATTGAGCTTCACTGTGGCCAAACACTCTGCTAAATGCATTCCCTGCGTGTTGTCAAAGCCTCTAACAATGACACTTCGAGGTAGGTATTTCAGTTCTCCGCTTTTAAGTGAAGATGCCAGAGAACTTGCCTCAGGCAATACCCACAGCTTGCCTTTGGCAGGGAAAACACTGGAGCCTTTCTGCAGAGCTCTCAGCCCTGCTCTGTCTGCATGGTACTCTGGTCAGGGAGGCCGCTTTCACTCCATTTCCACTTCTTTCAGGAATGTGCTCTTAGACAAGCTATTTCTGTCTCCCCAAACCAGAGACTCTTCATTTAAAATACCCCTCAAGGGGGCTTGTTTGGCAGGTTAGAAGTAAGGTCTGTAACGTCCTGGCTCCGTTTGGAATGCGCGACAGAAACTGGGCAGTTGTTTTAGACTCTAAGATGTTTTCTGCTTCCCACCATCCCCCTTGGCTTGTGACCTGTGTGTCTCTTCCAGGTGAACGTGCAAAACCCTGTACTTGCAGTTACAGATGCACGTCACAGTATGACTTGATACTTAAATTAGAAAGCCACGGAGGGAACCCAGCTTTCAGGACTGACATTGTCCATCGCCACAGTGGTCCCAATACATGACGTACATTAGAGTCATTTGCAGAACTTTCAAATATTTTACCCGGATGCAGGCTGCATCCTTAGAGGTTGTGTTTTAGTAGGTCTAGGATAGAAGTTGGACTAACTCCACAGGTAATAAATGCGTTGCTAGGGTTGGGAACCCTCCTGTTCGAACAAGAACTAGGTAAAGTTGAGTGGAGTTGCACGTGGGAAGAAGTGGTACCAATGAACTTTGGTCAGTTCCTCCCTGCCTGCTTTTCCTTATGGTAGAACCACCCAAGGGGAGAAAATCAAAGCACACCTATAATCTAAAACTTAGAAAATAAACTAGCTTTTTCTTCTTTGTCATTGTAGACATGGAAGGACTTTAATGAAACTTAAATGGTTCAACAAAAGATGCCCTAATGGATGACAGCGGAACTCCTACATGCAATCTGCAGATAGAAGCACAAGATGGGAGTCATTCTGGTGAGCGCGCGGAGACTATAGGAGTACACTTGCCTTCTGCAGCAGATGAAAATGAAAATCAGCTCGGTGGGGACAGGTGCGAGCATCTGAGCAGCAGTGACAGTGCCATGGGCAAGCCGGAAGTGTCTGAGCAAGACTGTCTCAACAACAACGAGAGTTGCGCGCCTAGCTGCGAGGAGACTGCAAGCGAAACCCCAGACAGCACTCCCTGTGGGGACTCCAGAGATGGACAGGCTCTCTTAGGAAAGGACAAAAAAATACCTGGGAAAAGAAGTCCAAGAAGCAAAAGAAGCACAGCTAAGAAGATACCACAAGGTATTTTGAAATATCTACTATTTATATTATTCATTAAAAAATTAACCAGGTTCCCATCCTCTGCCGTGTGCATGGCCTCACATCTTGCTGCCCCTCTATTCACGGCTTCTGGAGGCGGAGCTGGCACACAGAGGGCCAGCTGGCCGTAGGCCATGCGGTGACCATCTCCGCGCTGCGCCGCTGTAGGGCACACCACGGCAGGACCGCTTCTTTCTGGCCCCTTCCTGCCATGAGAACTGCTGAAACTGGCGTTCTTTGTTCACGTGCTCGCACTACGTTAGAGATAGATTGTCTCTTTCCTTTATGAATTGGATCGTTTTACCAATATCAAGCTTAAAAACTTCCCCGTCACCACTGTGGTTTTGATCTCTAACCTGCGGGTTTGTGTGATGGTAACATCTTACTTGGCCTCTTAAAGGATCTTTCCATCCCGGTTGGTGAAAAGTATCCGGTCAAAGGTATTCATATATACCTCATGCCGATTTTGTGTATGACATCTAGGTATAATTCTCTGTATTAATTTGGCTACAAGTAAGAAAGTCATTCAGAGTATTTCTCATTTGGTGTGTAGTTTAGCAGTTAAAGTTTGGAACTTTGGACCGTTTTACCTGAATCAGTGGGAACCCTTGGAAAAGGAAGCCTCTGGTTATTTTTCATTAGCAATTCGGGGACAGGAGAGTTCCGATACGTACGAGGGCCCCTGAATGCAGCACCACGTTCCCCAGAGCAGCCTTCTTTGCCAGTCTCTAGTGAATGGAAGTGGCCCCCTCTCTCATCTGCTTTCTTCTGCTTTGCCTCATTAGAAATACAGTCTGTCCACATCCTGTTCTTTATTTGTATTTGTGTCCTTGAAATAAAATGTGAAACCATAGTTTCTACAAATCCTTACTTATTAAGGTAATTTGATATTTTAATACAACACATACTTTGACTTTCCGGTCAACTGATCTCTGTATTTGCTTTTCCTTAGCAGACATCGAGTACATTAATCTGACAAACAATATGAAAGCCTTTTCTTACAAGGCCTAAGAATAAACAGACGATGCACACAGTGTTATATGTATGTACATAGATTTGTTCTGCAGCTGTATAATTCAAGTGCAGTGTGATGGCACCGCTCATGATCTTACGGTACTTGTAAGAAGTGAGTCCTTGTTGTGTATGTATACGGGTCAGTCACAGCTTTGAGATTATGGCGGCTTTATTCCTCCCTTCCAATTTCCCTAACAATGATTATATATTTTAAAGTTACTTAGTACTTATCCACTCAGCAGATATATAGAGAGAAATTACCATCTCCCTAATGTATTTGAAAAATGTGACTTGTAAAACTTCATAGCATCTATCTAGTTTATGTTTAAATTAGTTTGCACACCTTATATAAGTTTAAGAGTGTAAAAAAATTAATTTAAGAGATGTACAACCTAATGCAAATCTCCTGGTTCTAGGTCACTTGCTAAAACTTAATTCTGTATTTCTGTTTCCTCAACTATATGATGGTATCATTTACATATATGTGTAAAGGTCTTTCCTGAGCTGTGAAATTCTTAGATTTCTGACCAGAGATGGTAAAATTTAAACTTTATTAAAATTTGGTGATTCACATCTAGTGTCTATAGAGTTTTTGTATGTACAGACACATTTTTGTTTGTTCTAGTTTGGTGGCAAAAGAATCTTAAACTGAATAGACTGATGCTTTTGAGGGTGGAATTATCCCTTCTAGACCTTGAAGGGATCTAGAATGGAAAGCTTTAAGATTCTCTGGGGAGCTCTCTGTAGTTTACCCAGAGAGATGACGAAAAGTCTGTCCTCTCTGAATTTCATACCCAGTCACCAAGGCAAGTTTGTGTTTTCTGGTGATCTCTCGCTCTGTTACCCCCACTCCTACAGCATCTTTTGCTGCACTGCAAAAAAAGCAAAAGTAAAACCTCAAGATGTGCCCCTTCTTCTTTCTAGTGCATTCTCCACATCAACACTAACAATGTGAAGATCTTATGTCAAGGAGTCTCAACATGAACCTATTTACTATTCTTTTTATTGTGAAATTCTAAGGACTTAATTAAAGTGTCATGCCTTTACAGATGAGTACTTGGCTGAAAATAGGATTCACTCTCAAATGGAAGTGACATACAAAGTATGACAGTCAGTTCCAAACCAAAGTAAGGTTTTTCTGGGTAAGGTGTTACCTCGGTGCTTTTGGAAACATACATATAGGTAAATTTATTTACACTTCATTCTCCCTTACATAATTTAATCCACAGTCATTTTCATGAGTCCAAAGACGACTAATTCGGGGGGGGGGGAGAGCATTAACATGAGGAGGCGCATCATTATTTAGAAAATTTGTGGAAGCAGCATGTCTGTGGACTTGAACTTGGCCCCAGAGCAGTCCAGCTGCCCTGTATTACAGACTTCTCTTCCTGTAAGAGAACTGAATCGCCGTAATAGTCAACCAAGCAGGATTCAGCTGTATTCCGTCCAGTTTTCACTGCAGTGGAAACTGGCCATAAGGTAAATATTCACCTGGAAACCAGTGAAAATGGTCTTACACATTTTAGCAGCTTTATGGAGATATTTTCACCTGCCGTACTCTTCGCCGCTGAAAGTGTGCAACTCAGTGATTTGTGGTATCCACAAAGCTGTGCGACCGCTGCCAGTCGGCGTTAGAACATTCCATTGCTGCAGAAAGAAACCCACCACGTATTAGCAGTCCTCATCCCCCTTTGGATATTCTAGCGTGAGGCACACACGCTTTCTTTCAGGATAGAATTGCCTGAACTGGGTATTTCATACAGACAGAATCGCACAGTATGTTTTTTCGTAACTGGCTTCTTTCAGTTAGCATAATTTTTCAAGGTTCATGTTGTTATATGTAACAGAATTGTATTCCTTTTTATGGTCAAATAGTACTCCACTGTATGGGCACATTACATTTTATTTATCCATTCATGCATTTGAGCTGTGTCAACTTCCTGGCAATTCAAAATGAGGCTCCTACGCACAATTTCTTACAAATACACATGTTTTCTTTCTTTTTCTTTTTTTTGGGGAAGTATGTTTGAGAGTAAAATTGCTAGATCTTAAAGTAACTTAAAGTGTAGATTAGTTTGCCAGCTGTTTTCCAAGGTGACGAAACCATTTTTGTGTTCGCCACCAGCAATAGGTGAGGGTTACAGTTTTGCAGCATCTCTAATACTTGTTAACATCTAGTTCTTTTATTTTAGCCACAATTTAGAGTTGAGATATAATGTGCACGCTATCAGATTTACCTTCTAATATGTAAAATTTAGTGGTTTTTGCATATACACAGAGTTGTACAACCACCCCAGATATCTAATTCTACAGCATTTTATTTCCCCATGAAAGAAACCTGTGCCCATTAGCAGTCACTTCTGACTTCTCCCTTCTCTCAGTTGCTGGCAGCTCCTAGCTTATCAATTTTGTGTGGTTGGAATAGACACATTCAGATGAAAGGTCTGATAATTGCCACAACATGCGTTAGTTATTTACTCTGTCGCCACAGTATCTAAACATTTGACGAAACAGTTAAGCAAATGACTGGAAGCCAGGGATGGCAGCTCATGGAACCTGAAAAAAGAAGATACTTCCAGATTTACTTGCCACTATACAGTGCTCTCCGAGGCCTTCACAGTGTGGTCAGCTGGGAGGTGACCAGAGGACATGCAAACTAAAGGAAAACAAACCTTAGAAATGGATCTGTACCCTGGAGTCAGGGCACTGGACTGAGAAGCACAAAGACTGAATTTGAATATTGGCTCTGTTTCTACCTGTGTAACCTTAGAAAAGTGACACATTTCCTTGAACCTCTTTCTTGATCTGTTATCTCTCTGTACCAAGAAAGTTGCTATGGGACTAGGAGATAAGTGAACTGACAGTTACTGAGCTGGTGAAATTGTGTCACCTGGATCATAGATGAGGTATGAGAAAAGAGTTAACCCCCAGTTGTCTGACATCAGCTCCAAGTGAGTGATAATGCCACTTGCTGCATGTGGGATACAGGCAAACGGAGCTGAGGGCGTGGGGAGAGAAGAAGGCTGTGTGGTGTCGTGGGGTCTCCGACACATCTGGGTGGACATGTGGAGCAGGCAGTTGGTCTCGGTCTCCGTACACTCTGATCGTGGCTAGGTAGGTAGGTTCGGGGGAGCCAGAAAGGCTCTTAACAGCCTTTATGTCACTTGTACGTGGAAAACAGAGAAAGCAAGGGTCGGCTTCAAACTAAGAATGGGCCCTGGAGAGCTGACCCAAGAACTGAGGCTGCCAGAGAAGGAGGGAGTGGGGAAGGCAAAAGCAGTGTGGGGATGGAGCCCACTGGACTGGGGGGGGGCTGTGGGGGCCTTGGTAGTGGGCGTGTGTGGGGTCACAGCCCTGGAGGGTACTCCTGCACTCGCAAAACAGCACCCGTGATGAAACTAGTATTACCTTTGAGAAACCCTCTTCTAAACCCTTGAATTTTACAAATGAGGAGGTTGAGATTTTACCTAAAAAGTGCTTTGTCATCTTGGCAAGAGAGAAGGGTGTTCAACAGTGAATGCAGGGCTGGTGATGAGCCGGCTGTGTTTATGTGCAGAGGCCCACGCCTGCAAATCAGTGAGGTTCTCTTGACCAGATTCATAATTGGCAGCTCACCAACTTCTGTTTTTCCGCTGTGTAAACATGTCGCAGGCAGCAGACAAATACAATGATGGCAAGACAGGTCCTGCCCCTTGCCCTGTGGACCCCTGTGGCATGTGCTGAGAAAGCAAGTGCGAAATGTTAGGGTTACTACAAAGGTGCAGCTTCCCGGAGCTGTGCCTCGGAGCGAGGGAGCACCGCTCGCTTTTGGAACTGACCCATGTTCGGTGTGTGGTGAATAGAAAAGCAGTTTGATCTGGAACTGTACGGCTATTGAAAGCCCTTTGTAGAAAGCTCGGTCCGGAATGAGCAGTCTGGAGTGACAAATCATGTATTTCTAGGGATAGCCCTCACCTGATAGAAGAGCAGTAGAAACGGGTCTGGTCTGTGTCTAGGCGCGCTGGGCAGAACCCTGGTAGCAACTGAAAACAAACACAGAAGGGAATAGCAGGAGAGAGCAGGAAGGTAGAAAAGTGAAGACTTGTGTAGCCTGGGTACTAATCATGCAACTATCCCAAGGAGAAAGCAGGTGAAAACAGCAAACTTCTTTTTTTTTAAAGATTTATTTATTCACTCATACAGAACTAGGGTACAGGCTAGAGATGCGGTGGGTGAGAGGATTCACCAGAGACAGAGCGGGGAACAGAACAGGCAGATCGACGAAGTACACTGCTGAGGGGAGCAGCAGGCGGGTCAGGAGAGGTCTGCCGAGCCCTGTGGGTCAGGGCCCAGACTGGGGATCAAACTCGTGCTGCAGTGGCTGCGGAGAGCTTCACAGTGCACTGCTTTAACCTGTTGTGCTACCAGGGAGGGCCCGAGTTACTTGTTTTTAATTATTGAAGTCGTGGATTGTATTCCTTTCCCATTCTTTTTAGATTGGCTGAGTGAGTGAATGCTCCTTCAGCAGCCTGTTGGCAGTTCACTCATCCATTTCCTGCTCTCACTAAACTTAGCCCATGATTAGTGGTGAAAGTTTAAGACCTTTTTTCTTTCTAAGCCTCACACCTGTCCTGGGGCCATATGTTGGCTTTCTCAGACCTCAGCATACCAGAATACACTGACTCCCCAAGAAACTTTCGCCCCAATTTTTAATCCCTGACTTTTAGCAATCTATTCAACAGAATCTTTTGCCCCAGGTGACTGCAGGTTTTTTGACTTCCTGACAGTATTTTCCAGCAATGCCTGCTGCTTTGTGCTCTGCGGGGGTGTGAGTTAGGTGAAACAAAGGCGTGCAGCTGTGTCACTCCTTCAAGTATCCCTAGGCAGGTCAGAACAGGCAAACCCAATAATTTACAGGTGAAGCCTGCTGCCTTTGGGACGGGAGCAGGACCTCACACTGGGAGCTTGGGCTCTTGTTCTCAGTATTCTCCCCATGCTGAGAGTGGGTTGAGGAAGGGCAGGAGAAAATGCAGCAAACATTCCTACCAGCATGGCATCATCTTCATCTCAACATCATCTTCTTTCTTCACCCAGCACTTAGTAGGTGTTCTGGGTGGTTGTGCTGGTGTAAGGTGAGTGATTTCAATGTCAATGTGGGGTATAAAAACCATCACTGGATTTTTTTTTTTAAAGATTTATTTATTTGTGCATACAGAACTGGGGTACAGGCCAGAGGCTCAGGGGCAGCGAGAGGCTTCACCAGAGACAGAGTGGGGGACAGAACAGGCAGATCGATGAAGTACACTGCTGAGGGGAGCAGCGGGTGGATGAGGAGAGGTCTGCCGTGCCATGTGGTCACCTCCGGGGCAGGCGGGAATCGAACTCATGTGGAGGTGGCTTTAGCTTCTCAGTGCTGTGCTTTAACCCGCTGCGCCACCAGGGAGGGCCCCATCACTGGACTTTAAGTGGCATCTTGAAAATTAATACTTCAGTACAGTTTGAAGGGGCAGAGCTATATACCTCTTTTTCCAGAGTGCTGACAAATTAATCTTAGTAGTTCTATATTTTTATTTTTGTCTAATGTTTCTGTAGAGGGATGGGAGTCTGGAGCAGTGCACTCCAGCATTTTGCTTTTCTCTCTCAAAGCCCTTTGAGTTTCCCATAGCAAGAAGTAAGCCTAGAGTCAAGGACTTACACTGAAGAATTCTACTATTTCAGCATTCATAACGTTAGTCACAATAGCCTAAAGGCCTTATAATTATTGGATAAGTCATGGCACATTTTTGCACAGAACAAAAATACATCATGGCTTTTTCTGGCAACCCAATACATAGAAACATTCAGCCTTGAAAAGGAATAATAGTCTGATACATACTAGAGCATGGATGAACCGTGAAGATTAGGACTTCAGGGCTGACCTGGCTGTATTTCTTATGTACTGAAATCACTATGGAGTTTTGACATTTTAAGTTTATCAGATATAGGAAGGCTCTGGGATCTCATTTAACCAATCCCTTCATTTTAAAGATGAGGAACTAGCACAGAGGAGAAAGTGTCTAGTCCACTTGAAAAAAATTAGAACTGAAGCCTGCTGTTCCAATACACTTTTTGTATAAATGTCTCAATTAAGGGCACGTTGTAGTTAAGTCATCGTTGAAGTCATCATTTTAAGTATTAATAGATAATCCCTTTGTGGTAGGGATCTTGTTGGGTTTCCGTCTAAACATAGCTACTACTGGAAGGATCCATCTGAGCCTCGTTCCTAACTTCCACCTCCTCCTTTCACTTGGTGATCAAAGTACTAAATTCTCTCTGATGGCCAATCTTAGCCTAGTAGTGCTCTTAGAATCCTTAGACTTCTCCAGGCCTTTAGGAATTCTGTTGGTTATGTTTTATGATTAATGATATTCTTTCCATGGAGACTTCTTTGTTCAGCACATAATTTCATTTGCCAGTGCCTTGTTTGTTTATAAATGATACACATCTGTAATATTAATCATTAACATAACTTAAAGAGAAAATGGACCGAGCAGGAACCAGAACCATCGTGAACCCCCACTGTCCAAATTACTGAGGTAATCACAGTTGCATATTTCTGCTCCTTTTATGGAAGACCCGTTTGGCCTTTACAAAGAGTAGTCATAAATCCTGTCCTTTTTCCTTACCTTTGAGACGCCTGTCCCCTCTGGTATTATTTTTCAAGGGTTACTGAAAATGCTTTTTTTTTTTTTTTTCAAAGAAGCATACTGTTAAGTTTGATAAGTCTGTGGGAAGAATTTTATCAGGAGGAGTAAATAATTAGGAAACAGCCCGGCCTGAGGATAAATGTCTCAGCAAATGGCTCCATACCAGGGGAAGGAAACGTGGTTCTCTCAGCTTCTTTGCAGTTCTCTGTGGGAAGTTTCTGTTCCCACATGGGCACCAGCACTGAAAGGTTAGAAGAATAGAAAGCAGAAGAATCACCCATGTTTGCAAAGGTGTCTCTGCAGAATGGGAGGCATGTAAATTACTGTTCTGCCAGAGTTTGGATCTAATAGAGTAGAGACCAAACCATACACCAATTACTATATCACAACCCAGAGTAACAGAGGGCGTATACAGGGTGCAGAGGAGGTAAGTGTACGGCAGACCCACAGGTACAGAATAATACATAGATTTTGTTAGAGTTGAGCATTAGCGATCATTAATGGAAGGCAAATATTCCACCTGTTAGAAGCTGTAATTGCTTGGGAAGTCATAGAGTTGACCTCAATAATAAAGAAAGAATTGACTGGTCTGTTCGGATTGACTAATGGGTTCATTTATTAGAAGGTAATAAATGGCTCAGGCCTGTGGAGAGTATGCTCAGCCATGGCACACACACATCAAGCTACTGAGAAAGACCCTTTCTGCAGCAGACTAGCTGAAGACAGGTACCTGCTGGTGCTTCTGCTCACGTTGAACATGAAAATTAGGACCGATACTGAGATTTCCGTGAAGACTGAAGTTACAGTATATAATAAATTTTATTTAATTTAGTACATTTTAATTCGGCACAAGAATTTGGTTCGGAAGCTGTGGCATAAGTATTCATTCTTCAGTGATTTTTTAAAGGTCTGTATTACTTCTTTTTAGTGGAGAAGAATGTTTCTAGGGTCCTTTGCTCTGGCGTCTGAATTCCTGCTGCTGCCCTGGGATTTCCTTGAAGTTCTAAAGTTATCAGACCAGAGGTTAAAGGGGGAGACTCCACTTTTTTCCTGTTTACTTCTGTGTTATTATTTTGGACTTCAAACCATAGACAATCCATTTTTCCATTGAAAGAATCAAGTACTTAGTCAGGTTCTAACCGAAGAGATCTTTCGATCTTTTCTTATTCACACTGAATTATAACTCTGTAAAGTGTGGTTTATGTGTGTATTAATAAAAGCCATCAAATGTCAGCACATTCTAAATGAGGTCAATAGCTGATACCCAGGCTTTTCTTAATGTTATTGATTTCACTTGAAGATTTTATGATTAATGGACATAATTGTTTTTAGATGTTTCACCACGATGGAACTTTTATCCTAACACTGGCATCTTATTCCCTTCCTAAAGGGCTTTCTTCAGGAGATCCCACGCCTTTCATGCAAGAAAATATATTAAGTGCAGCCTCACACGTGGTTAGCGAAGAGTCTGCTGAAATAAATGCAAACGATCAGCCAGAAGCCCGGAAACAAGTTCTGCAATCTCTGTTCTCGCTCACACGAGGTGAAGTGAAGCAGTTGGATTCAAGAACACTTCCCCTTTGCCTTCATCAGGTACAGTGTTAACCCCTCGCTCTCGGTCTCACTGAACATCTGCTTCCCTTGTTCCTAATAATTTCAGACGCGGGTCACTGTAATCGATGTGCACACACCCGTCATGGGTGAGGGAGAAACTGTCTGGGCCCGTGACTGCTGGGATTGGACAGATCACTGACTAGTGGCCACGCACTGGGCTCGGGTAGTCAATCTCTGGTTCAACTAATGGCTAATTTAGGTAGTGAAAAAGCTCTGAACAGCTAGCTAATGTAGTGAGCACCAACGAGATCCCTGAAACTTATCTGTGCCTATCCCTAAGAGAATCACTATGCAATAGGAGACATCATTATATAGGTAATTAATTGGGGAATTTTTAATAAGTGTGGAAATGCACATGTCAGAGTTTCAGCAGACACACAAAAATGCATGCTTAACTGTGTTCTGTAGGCGAGGGAGGGACAAAGAACACGGCGACTTTTGGGTGACTTTTTTGTTTTTAATAATATACTAGTTTGTTTTTACATCCGTTTGTGCTTTTTTCCATCTCAGTTGTCATCCCCATGGGCTTCCCATCACCAAATCACCTGTGCGCCCTCTCCATAGTCTTGGGCAACCTTTTGCAGGATGTGTAGACACTGATTGGATGAGCAGAATGAGCTGATGCAAGAAATGAGATCCGCCCATGCAAAGGCACGCCCATGTTGTTGGAGATTAAAATAGAAACAGGAATTGAGATTGGCTAGCTGGTGACGGTGCAGCCTTGTAAGGACTGGGAGTCTTTAACTACGGGAGGGCCAGAATCTAATTTGAATTTTAGATTAAGAACTTTTGTGATGATAAATTGGAAGATGGAGAAGTGAGAAACTAAGAAACCTTTAGGATAGTGATGAGGCAGCAGTTTCACACAAGAGCTAATTTAGAAAAAAAATGAATAGATTGATGTGTTGTCTTTCATTTTCCCTTAAAATGGAAATGTCATATGGGGGTAGAGAAGGTTTCACTCTTTATTTCATTTACTTCTGTTTCATTTTAGCTTTTGCTAAATGAACAGTGAGTACTTTTGAATTTTAAAAAAGTAAAAATAAAAGAAGTCTTCAAGAGCGGGGGAAAACAATTTTTTTTTTTAAGTATAATAGTCTGTCCCAGGGAAAGAAAATGTATATTCTTACAAACTAATTTTACCTTTTCTGTGAATTTAAAGAATGCTTTGGAGAAATGTATACTGATTTTTTTTTTACCTCTGAGGTAACTAACTTACTAATATAGTTGAGAATCATCAATGCCAAGACAGCTTTCTAATCTTTTAGAGTTCCCTACATTTGTATGGTTGAGTCAGTTTGCAAAGGGCATTCATACTTCTTGTTATCTCACCCTACAAGCAACCTAGAGAGATAAGTATTATCATTTTTTGGTTTTATTATCATTATGTGGTGAATCTGAGATTCCTTCACAAAGCATTCAACCCATTTTTTTCTATAACACCTGGGAAGAAACTTGAATACAGGCTATGTATTAAATGATGCATTGTAACTAGTGCTGCCGAGAACACAGGAGTGTATGAATTAGTTTTGTTGTGTTCTTCTCCCAGGAGTGAAATGGCCGGGTCATATGGTAGACCTAGCTTTAATATTTTGAGAAAACTTCACACTGTTTCTACAAGACTGCAGTAATCTGCTTTCTACCAGAGTTCCTTTTTCTCCAGCACTTGTTGTCTGTTCTCTGCGTGATAGGGGCTCTGTTGTACCTCATTGTGGTTTTTGACTTGCATTTCCTAGCTAGTAAGTGGTGCTGGAGCATCTTCCATATGCTTATGGACTGTACGTGGGTCGTCTCTGGCGAAGTGTCTGCTTCTGCCCATAGAGTTGATTGCCCCTAAAATTCACCCCACGCCATGGAACCTACTGACTTAAGTGCTTAGGTGGGTTGACTTTTATATTTATTTGTTTCTCCAGAAGAAAGCAAAGTACTGCCTCTGATGCCATCTTTGACCAAATTCCAAAATCACATTTCTGGACAGATCAGTGATAATAATCTTGATTAGGCCTGAAGATTATTTAATTTATTCATATCAAGTGAAATTCCACTCCTGTCCCTAAGGAACTTAACATGTGCAGAGTCTTGTATGTGATAGTTCTTACCAGTCTCAATCATCTGTTCAATTCTGGCAAAGTTGCTTAAAGTACAGTGGAAATTTAAAAGGATAGACTTGGACTCTACCATTTAAACTACAGCTTTTTCTTCCTTAAAGTTGTCTAAGGCCAGTTGAGATAATGTGTATAAAAGAAGAGTGCTTCGTATACAGTAAAAAAAATCAAAGAGGGCCCTCCCTGGTGATGCAGCGGGTTAATGCACAGCACTAAGAAGTTAAAGTCACTTCAGCATGAGTTCCAGCCCCGACCAGGGAGTGACCCACCGGGTGCAGCAGACCTCTCCTATCTCGCCCGCTGCTCCCCTCAGCAGTATACTTCATCCATCTGCCTGTTCTGCTCCCCACTCTGTCTCTGGTGAATCCTCTCACCCCCCGCCAGTTCTGTATGTATAAATAAATAAATCTTTTTAAAAAATCAAATAATATTATGAACATACCCCCTGAGATTGTTTATTAGAGATGAAGACTGGGTCAACAAGGAGATTCTGTAACTTACCGCACGTTAAAATATCAGGGCAGTAGCAGTTGTTTGGAGACAAAGATCCCAAAGCCATTACAGTCAAAGACTTACTTAATTTTAAGGGTCTTAGTATGAATCTAGGTGACTAGCCTTGATGGGAAGACCTCGAGCCCCATCAAGGCCCTCTATATCACCTCTATATCACACAGCCCATTGTAAACAGGCTAAATGTCAACTCCGTGCTGAAGGCCACTGCTCTGGCCTTTTCTGAAATATCAAAGCAATTCAAAAGTTGCTGTCCCATGAGGTAGTTTGTGAAAGAGAAATAAATTGAATGGGGTTTTAAAGTATCATGTGATGGACTATATTTCAACCTTTTCATTTACAATGATACATTCGCTCACGTTTGCATTCTTTGGAATTCTTACTTCTAAAGTCCAGTGAATCAATCAAGAGTACTTTGACTAAAAATAGAAAAGGAAGACTGAGGTTGCAGAAAAATCAAAGGATTTTAGTCTGCATATGCTCTGCTTGAAATGATGGTTTGAGACTATGCCCACAGTCAGATTTTTTCTGAATTGGTAAATGGAATTAAATGAGGTTCTTCTTAGTTTAATGTCAAAGATTTTCAAAGTTTCAAGGTCTTGATTTCTTCTAAATGTATCTCTTGGTCCAAATGTTAACTTAATTTCCTGTTTTTTTTTGTTTTCTAACAGATAGCAGAGTCCTACTTCCAGGAGGAGGACTGTATCCTTTTCTGAGTTTCCCAAGGAATTCACAGAACTCTTAGAGAACTGCCCACTTAAACAAAATCAAGTTGAACTTTACATAGTGTATCAATCTACTCAAATCCAGGGGATTTTCTTTCTTTTGAATTAAACAGATAATAATTATAGGCCCTGCCAAGTATATCACACATAGTAACTGTTGCAGCTGTCTTTTTAGAGCTGTATATCTACAAAGGAAGAAAATTAAATTCTTTACCAGTAGTAAGCAGGATGAAAAGCAAGTGAAATCGCGAATCAACCATTGTCTAGGAAAGAGTCTTCCTTCACTTTCTCCGTTTCCCTTTCTTTAAGTTTTCCTTTTTGAGGCATGGCCCGGTAGATGCTCTCCAGAAAGTATTACAGGCCTCTGTTCTTCTCATCTGCACAGTTTCCTTTTGCTCCAGACCTTGTTGACTTTCACCTCACCTCTCAGCAGTGTGAGAGACCAACAGTTCTGATCCTAAACCCTAACAGCTTCAAACAGTGTTGTTTACTCTTCGGTCTGTCCAGCCCCTGTTCTGGCAGCAGTGAGGCTAGCCCTCTCTTTCTAAACAAATAATGAGTCTGATGTAAAGCAGAACAGACCCGCACCACCCTCCTGAGGTCTGTTAGAATGCAGATTAACAGACCGTACATCAGAGTTTCTGGGGACCGGACCCAGAAACCTGTATTTTAATAAGTTTTTCAGACACTTTTATGTTCAGCAAAGTTTGAGAAGCATTAGTGAATTTTAAGTCACAGAGGGAGGTAAATGGAACTGTCCCCATTTCTTCCTGGCCTGTTTTAAGACTTGAAGTAAGAAAGAACTCTCCTGCTGAGTGATGATCGCAAGGACAGAAGGTTCAACAGTGAATTTTTCTCCTCCTTTCTGGGTCAACATTTAGAACACTGCCCAAAGGAAGGTGGACAGCTGGGCAGTTTGTCGTGACTCCATGCAGTGCTAAATGCTGGATGTGTGATGTACATGAGAAGGAAGACGTCTCTGAGAAAATCGCCATAAAAAGGACATTGCATGATTGTGAAATCTCTGTGACAGTTTCATTACATTGTCACAAAAGACACATAGGATGTTTTGCTCTGTCCTTGTTCAGTTATGCAAATATTTGGACTTGTGGTAGAAATAAGTACAGGATCAAGGGATTTGAAATGCAAAACAAAACAAAATGCCTGAGAAAACACTTGGATTCCCTGACCCAGGTAGTTCCTATTTCCAAGTACATTACATTTTACTGACTGCTAGAAATACATTAGTGCGCAGACATTCCCGCATTACAACCTGCTTTTAGTTCCTCTTGTTTGCTTATAAAATCAGGTCAAAGTAGCCACTGCATAATATGTTGCATTAAAATGCATCTGCTTCAAAACCAGGAGACATTACTTAACATATTGCAAATCACTTAGAGTGCTCTTATGTTTTGGTGGTGAGCGTCAGATTTCTCGACTTATACAGGACAGTCTTCAAATATGGTACTAAGAGAAAAGAGGCTGGATTTCTGTTTTCCTTAAATTTTTTATTCAGACGAGAAAGCAATGAAATTCATTCAGCTTGAGCGGTTGTATCACGAGCAATTACTTGCAAATCTGTCTGCCATTCAAGAACAGTGGGGTAAGTACAGACCAGCAGAATGTGAAATTATCAGGAATCTATACACATTGCTATCTAGAAAATTAAAATACTGGACCTCATTTTCTAAGTCAGGGAATGGATATTTCTATGTGAAGTTAATTGTTGCAAAGAAAACAGCATTTTCATCATAACCTACGTCATTATGAGAAAATACTTCTCTTTGTATTTTGCTCTTTATATCAATGTCAAGAAGAGAACACTTGGGACTATTTGCATTTTTTCTGACTCTTTTGTATCCCTTACTGGCTAATTTAGTCTCTGGAGAGTATTTCCTTACACTGAAAAATAATCACTCAGCAATTTCTAACTCCATGGGATAATTTTGCACATGGATTTTTATCAATGAAACCAGTTGACTGTTTTTTCCTGTTAAATATCTTTTGTAGTAGCCGGTGACTAACAAGTGTTGTTTAATTTAGAAACGAAATGGAAAACTGTACAGCCACATACAGTTACATCTCTAAGGAATTCAGAAAAAGGATTCAATGGTGAAGATTTTGAGCAGCTTACTAAATTTTGCACAACACACCAAGAGTAAGTGTATCAGTATTTGGGTAGAATAGGCTGGAATGGATTATGAAGGATCGCTGTGGCGTGGGATATTTAAATCGTACAGTCTATTTTGCCAGTGTTTTCAACTGGAAAAATGAAAATGGATATAAAACAGTATTTCAAGGGATTCCAAAATATCACTTAATTGTTTAGCATGTTACATAGGTTAAATTGCAACTTAATAGAGTTTTTAAATTATGAAATCTTTTAAAATAAAGATTGTTTTCTTCAAAGTATTCAGTATAGATACCTTCCCAGTCTTTCCCATACAACTAATAACTTTTTAATATGTTAAATGCTTTATTTAAAAACATCATTTACTGACTATAACACGAGCCTGGCATTTTTATGCTTTAAATTTAATGATGCCTCCAAATTATTACTCGTCATTGTTTTTAATACTGAAATACATTTTGTCGTACATACAGTACGACATGTTTAATGAATTTTTGCACATGAAAGTGCACACGTACATGCAAACCCATGCAAGTAGCTCTCACTGGCCGAGACACAGAATAATGCAACCCCTCAGGAAATTCTCTCATGCAGTGCTAAGTCAGAACCAGCCAAAGGTCACTACTGTATGAATGCTCTGCCTGTTCTATAATTTCCCGTGAATGTAATCGTAAAGAATGTAGCTACCTTATTTTGCCCATCATTATGTCTTTACTTGATGGTGGAAATCTGATGCTTTACTTTTGTGTGGGTTCACTGTGTAGTGATTTATTTATCCACTCTTTTGTGAATAGATATTAGGATTGTTTCCATTGTTTTTAGTATATGGTTAAATGAACATTTGTTTGCACCTACTTTTTTGTGGATATACGCATTCTATTGATATTGTCTTCCATAATCTCTAAAACATAATATTTCATAATTATATTTTTTGGCTTTGTTTTCATGCATAATGTCAATAAAATTATCTCCCACCACAAATTTTAGACTTTAATGATATAAATTGATATTTTATTTATTTTTTAAATATTTACTTACTTGCATACAGAACTGGGGTACAGGCCAGAGGTGCAGGGGCGGTGAGAGACAGAGTGGGGAGCAGAACAGGTGGATTGACAAAGTCCACTGCTGAGGGGAGCAGCGGGCCGGTCACGAGAGGTCTGCCGCGCCCTGTGGGTCAGCTCCCAGGCTGGGGATCCAGCTTGTGCTGAAGCACCTGTGGCTAGCTTAGTAGTGCTGTGCTTTAACCCGTTGCACCACCAGGGAGGGCCAGCGAAATAAACTAATATTTTAAAATGTATGTGTGGTCCCCTTAAAAAAACACTATTAGCAAGAGGTTAGCTTTTTTTCCCCTTGGTTTGTATCTCAGCATTTGTAGCTTCCTTGGAAGTTTTCAGCAGTAATTGGCTATTTAAGGAGATTAACACATGATATGTTGCACTTTGAACTGTGTGAACAAGTGATGATGTTTCAGCCCTGGAAAAGTTCTGTGCTAATATTAAAATCCAGAGGAGCTGCAGTTGTTTACAGCCATTTCTATGGCATTTGTTTGGAATCATATTGCTGTTTTAGCTTTTAACTCTTTTCTTTTTCTTTTTTTATACAGTCCTCTTTTATCCAAATACAAGGTAAGCTACTGTTGCTCTGAAAATATTCATAGGAAAAATATTCGTGTCATATGTCTGTTGTGTGGACTATTTTAGAAAATAAAACCCCTTTCTCGAGTTACTTTCAGCTTTCTAATTTAATGCTTTCTAATTTAACGGTTTGTCCCTGACAACGCCCCTATTTTTTGTTTGTTTGTTTGTTTAACTTATTAGATAGCAGCTGTAGAAAAGTCCCTGGGAAGAAAATGCTTAATGCAATTAGAAATAACTGAAGATCCAAAGGAAAATGGAGCTACAGCCAAAGAGCCAGGTAAGTGTTAAATTTCAGATATATATACACACATATGTGCGTGTGTATCTGTGTGTGCATGTGTGTAGAAAGCACATGTCTATGTGTGTGTAGCCTAGAAAAAGCAAAGCAAGATTTTATTTACATTGTGTAATACTGTTTAAAACTACAAATAATAGACATTATAAATCTGAATTCCTATAAAAGTAACATTATTTCTGTGTTTCAGTGGGTGGTCAGATGTACCCAACAGTTCCTTTAAACCATTAAGCTCCAAATCGCCTTTAAATCCTGAAGTCAAGACCCAGCAGTGCCCCTCCGTGTCTTTGGCATCATCTCTCCAAACCGCCCCTATTCCAGGTGTCAGGATGCTAGTGCACTGCAGTGGTAAATCCAGTTCACCAAATAGTCATGTAGGAACCCCAGTCTCCTGAGAGTGCGCTACCGTATGGGGACATCCCCCCTAACAGTTGGGTACTCTCCAGTCTCAGCTTGGAGATGGGGGTGAGCCCAAGTGACTCACTTCTGTCTCTTTTTTTTTTTTTTTAAGATTTATTTATTTATTTGTGCATACAGAACTGGGGTACAGGCCAGAGGCTCAGGGGCGGTGAGAGGCTTCACCAGAGACAGAGTGAGGAGCAGAACAGGCAGATCGACGAAGTCCACTGCTGAGGGGAGCAGCGGGCGGGTCAGGAGAGGTCTGCCGCGCCCTGTGGTCACCTCCGGGGCAGGCGGGGATCGAACTCATGCGGAAGTGGCTTTAGCTTCTCAGGCTGGGCTTTAACCCGCTGTGCCACCAGGGAGGGCCTGTCTCTTTTTTTGACAAGAGAATTCCGTGTTCTCCCAAAAGTGATCTCTTCTTTCCTCTCCCGCTCCCAGTCTGAGACTTGAGTTAAGGTGTGAGGGGCGGTGGTATAACTTGACTTGCCTGCTGTCTCTCAGCAGTCCGGAGCTGTGGTGTCCGTCTCCATCACTGATTCTCGGGGAGCGGACAGCGGCACTAAGTACAGCCTTTTCTTTGGGCTAGGGCGTGCCTCCACTGTGAGTGGATGCTTGTTATTGTCAAAGTACCAATAAAGGAAAAACCAAGTAGGATATGCTTATCACCGTAGTTCGTGTTTGAGTCTAACCTTGGGCATATGTATGTATAAACTAAACACTAAGTGACTTTACAAAACTTCTGCGAAGTTCGGTATGCTAAATGAACCAGTAAACTGATGGACTCTTCAGGAAGCTCTATGTTATGTACTAACCTATGCAGCCAATGGATACATGAAAGTTCTTACCCGTCTAGTGTTAAAGAAAAACATTTTTAAACATTTTTAAGTCATTTCACTTAAATAATTGAAAATACGTCAAAATTTAAACCAGTTTCTACCTGTTGCCAAAACTCATGCTTTTTAATCTCTTCCTTCTCTGCTTCCCTTTATGGAGTGGCAGTTTTCAAACTAATTAACAGTGTTATTACTAAAGATGTGATGCTTAAATAAATATTGACTGAACAGACTTATTCCTTAGCCTAGTCTTCGCAAATCAGAAGCAATATGGTTTTCCTTTTTAAATTCAATATATGTATCACTTAGGTTCATGAGATTGAAATGCTTAAAATGCCATGGCTAAGATAAGTGGAAACTGGCTTTTCCTGACTTTAAAGTGCTCTTTTAAATATTAAAATGTCCATAAAGTTCAGAAGAGTATCTTTTAAACCTTTGAATAATGACTTTTCAATGATAATGTAAACTCTCCGTAGTCTTCACGTATTTTTTAATAATTTGTTAATTTTTATCGGTGAGGGATTATTTACTGAATATTTAGGGGATTTCCTCTGTAAAGACATCACGCAACAGGTAAAATTTCCATATGAGAGGTTTGGAGCATTGTGCTACACCATTCATACTTTCTGTTACCTCCAAGATAGAGTGTTGTTTAAGCCTTCCAAAGCTTGCTTTTCTCCCTCTTCAGAGAGCGCAGCTTGTCTTGGCATCGACTCAAGTGGAGAAAATCAGTGTCAAGAAGAGACCCGGGAGAGAGGGCCCTGCTGTCATCAGGCCCTGCAGGCCGGTCTCCAGGCCCTTGCGGTAACTTCAAAGAAGGACCACACGGAGGAGCTCTGCAGCCCCGAAGCCCCGCCTGAGGGCCCCGCCCAGCCCTCAGAGCAGGCGGCCTGCAGCAGGCCCAGGTCACACTCTGCTGAGGATGCTGGTGAGGATGACAGCCACTTGCTGCTGCCTCAGGCAGAAACCTGCCAAAATGTGGCCAGAATCGAAGGCATCGCTGAAGAGCCTGAGGTGTCACTTTCCAGCAAGTCAGTGGTAGAGCCTGACCCACCGCCCGTGCTGGTTTCCGACAGTAAATGTGTACAGCCTCACAGACAGGAGTTCCAGCTGCCACGCCCAGCTGCTTCTCGGGCACTGCTCCCAGACCAACTGGAGAACAGGGCTCTCAACAAGCTGCAGCCATCTGATCTCACGGGGAGTGATGGGAAGTCGCCGCCGCCGGGGTGGGCTGACCCAGAGCACTGTGAGGCTGAGCTTTGTGACAATGGAGAAGTGTCTGGCTTAAGTGCGGCCCTTCGGGAGGCCTGTATGGCCCCTGAAGAAACGAGAGACAAGGATGACCCAATCAATAAAGAAACAGAAGACTATTTGAACAGCCTTTTAGAAGGATGCTTAAAGGGTGCTGAGGACTGCCTCTCAAGTGAAGAAAACCAAGACGAAGACTCTGATCTCCAAGATCTTTCTCCTGAAGAAGCGTCGTATAGTCTGCAGGAGAATCTCCCTGCTGATGATCCTAGCTGTCTTTCTCTCGATGATCTTGCAAAAAGGATAGAGATTGCAGAGGTAAATTTGAAATTTAATCTAAGTACAATGAATTTTTAAAAGGATATATGTACTGTATGTTACCTTTTGTATGTGTGAACTTCTAGTCTTAGAGATGAGCAGAAATTTTAGTATAAACTGAAACATTCCGTTTTATTCCCATAGGGAATAAAATACCTCAGAAACATGATGTTATAGTGAAGTTACATTGTATGCCCCGATACAGTAAGCATCATGACACCATTTTTTATATTCCTTTGACTTTTATTTGGAAGTGCCAGGAATTATGATCAAGATAAAATTAGTCACGCTCTTGTAAGGAAATCTCCTTTTCCTTCTATACACTGGAAGGAACATCTATTCATTATTTCCTCTTATTAATATATTGTAACTCTTTCAAAATCATAGAACCTAGGAGACATTTTAAAATAAACCTAGGAATTACTTCATAGATTTTTCAAGCCATTAAGTGTGCTGTGAGTCTTCCCTTTCATACGTTATGAATTTATAAACCTGAGGCTTAAACAAACTTAAGACTCACCGCTTAACTAAATCAAATATTATAAATCAATCAGAATTTAAAGCCATCGTTGAATAAAAATGAAGCTAATCAAAACAAAAATAAATTTTAAAAGGAGGGCAACACGATGCCCTACTCCTGTGTTTGATGACAGAATGTTTTCAAATTTAGGGCAAGAAAATAGAGATAAAAGCACCCCAAAGCTGCCCGAGGTTAGGCAGGCTGCTGTAGGAAAGAGAAAAGTCTGACAGCTTCACTTCAACTCTGACTCCACCAGTCACTCATCTGATGGAGTCCTATTTTCCGAAGTCTTTGAAATTTAGGGTGCTGGCTGCCATGTTTTTCGTTCCATGAGCTCTGACTTTTCTTAATTTCCTCCTGACAAAATCGAATAGAAAAATAAAAACCTCGTTTCCTCATTTGGCCATTTTTGTGTGAGTGCCTCTTCTTTGTGAGTGCAGTGGCCTTACAAATTCAGATAAAGACACTCAGGTATGAGCCTCAGTTTAACCGTTGCCCGAATCCAAGAACGACATGTTTGCTAACTTTGAGTATGCAAATTTCTGTGAAATGATGGCATTGTATTGCAGTACCTGATATTTTAATATCAGCAGCCAGACTCCCTTCACACAGGGCCCTGGGACGGTCATAAATCATTGACGTGCTTTGGTTCTGGAACCTGGAAAGGTGGATTGTCTCCTGTTCCAGCATCAAGAAGGGAGGAATTTGCCGCCTACCTCCACAGCCTTACTATGTTCCGGTCCATACTGCCACGAACAGTCTGCTCAGATTAGGATAGACTGTGAAAATTTTGGGACATGCGGGACTTGTTTTGTTTTCTAAATAAGTGAAAGTCAAATCAACTATTGGGTAAGTTGTATGAAAATCTGTGTCTTAACCTTGAAAATAATCATGTTGCTAATTCAGAGATGCCCTTGTGATTAAACTGTAGCAACAGGATATGTCACGTGAAGATGAACCACTCGTTTCTCTTCATTACCTACATAGGGTAGATTCTAAGACCTCTGCCCAGAACCTTTGCCGCAGGGAGGGACCACACCCCCTTCTCTTCGGAGAAGGCTTCCCTGGCTTGCGTCTCCTGCGCCTAACGCTGGCCCTGCATGCCTTGTTCTCCATCTGCAGAGGGCAGGCCCAGAGGACACTTAGAAACACAGAAACCTGGAGAAGATGATGAGCAAGGCAGAAAGAGCAGCGCACACACTTTCACTTCAGCCACTGGGCAGGCCCTGCCGCAAGAGGGCTTGGGTGGAAGAGAAAAGGGAAAACAGAGAGGTGATTAGATTTCAGCCAGGAACTGCGGGTGGGTGGAGAGTGTCAAGATGAAATGTTGGCTCATCCCACGTAACTGTGATTTCTTGTTACTTTACTTCTGCCCTCTCTTAAAAAGTGGCCAGAGTTCACTGCCTCCCATGGGAGACGAGGCGGGAAAAGGCATGTGCCCCTTCTCTGCAACCTTCAGAGCCAACCCCCAGGTTACGCCAAGCAGGAGCAAAGGTCAGATAGCTGCTGAGCGGGGCCTGGCTGCTGGTCTCAGACGTATTTCTGTCCTCCGGATGACTGCAGTTCCTCCCAGCCTGTCAACGTCCCTTTATCTGTATTTGCAGTGGCTGTTTAGTGTAATCTGGCTATGCTCCTTGAATCTATGTTTTGCAGTTCATATCACCAAGATACGCAGTTAGCCGTAAGGCCATTCTGGAACTCATCGTCAGAACCATTGTGTGTTTCATGTCTAATACATTTTTCTTGTGGTGACACCGTTCTGTAACACTACAGAGGTTTTCGATGTGTAGCAAATCAGACAACGTCCTTATGCACTGCCTCATCATCAGCCCCAAAATGCAGTTTCCATCTGTCAGCATAGAGTTGACCCCTTTATCCATTTCACCCGCTCCCCAACCTCCTTCCTCTCTGGAAACCACCAGCCTGTTCTCAGGATCTGAGAATTTTGGTTTTTGTTGTTTGTTCGTTTGCTTTTGCTCTTTACCTTTGAAATGCGTGAAATCACACTGTACCTGTCTTTCTCTGACTTTGCGCTTCTGTCCATCCCGTAGCCGCAATGGCAGTATTTCACCTTTTTTTTTTTTTGTAACTGACTAGTCAGGAGTTATTCTTAATAAGACTTTTTTTTTTAATAAGGAATTAAAGCAACTTGAAAATGACTATATTCATTTTCATTCTTTGTCAGTAAATGTATGACTTTCTGGAGAAAGTGAAGAAGTCTGTGAAAAACCCTGGTTTGGTGACAGTTACTAAAAAATAAAAAAATCAGTAACATATCCTAAGTAGTAATGTACTCACTAAAATGGATTTCCACTTTCCGCCTATTGCGCTTTAGAAACTAAGTAGGATTTCTTTCCCTCTCAGTTTCAGTAAGGTGCCTGTGAAGTCATTTTTCTTTATTATGAAGAAGCTCTTTAACGTTGCTTTCTAAAGAAAGATTTAAAAGGTTACTCCTTTGCATATTTGCACTGACATTTTAATGTCACTAAAGTACTTTTCTCAGAAGGATATCATCTAAAATACATATTTCCTATAAAAAGAACAAATTGCTATCATTGATTTTTTTTTTTTTTTTTTGAGATAATGGCTTCTATAGATCCGTGTTCAGGGAAGCCCAGTAGAAAACTGTACTGAATTATTTGGCCCTAAAAGCCTTGAGTTATAAAAAGAGTTATAATAGAATCTGTAATATTTATGGATGGCACTTTGTCAGAAATGGCTGGCTGGAACTGGAAACCATACTAAGTATTTTATGCCATCGATCAGGTCAAGACATTGTGCCTGGCCCGGGTACACAGTGCCTGCCTATGCCATCAGCTGCTCCTTGGAGCCAGCAGGTCGCTCACAAGTTAACTTCAGTGGGGACCTTGGCAGCCTCCTGCTTCCCAGTCTGACTGTACCAACTGGTCCTCTTTCTCTCTACACCTCAGGGTCTCACAACAACTAAATGGCAAGGTTCTTTATTTTTTGTCTGAATTCCTAAAGGAGGGACGGGGTAAGTCAGGAGAGTGTCACAGCATGGAAAGAGCTAAAGAAAAAGCGCCGAAGAGATGAGACAGCAAGCTTTCCAGGAAGAGCCAAAACAGCAAACACTTCAGACTACCTAGGTCGCCGCAGCTACTCAGTTCTGCCAGAGCTGCCCCTGCGCAGACATACCCGACGTGTGCGGGTTAAGGTTCTTGGCAGTGCTCCAAGTAAATGTTATGTGTTATTTTTAAACGTTAAAATCTGTAGGGCACCATGCCTTTGTTACACCAGCCATCCTTTGCCGACTTCTGCAAACTGACTCTGAGAGACATTCTGGAAGAGGTAAAATACCCTCAGCTATTTTGAACAGTAGATCATTATTTAGTAAGTTCGTAACTTCTCAGGAACCGGGTATGCAGGGGCAATACCCATCTTTATTTTAAAGTTGGTATCAACTCTGTCTCGTTTCATATGTTCATTTCTTTATGGCTACTGAGGACTGGTGCTCTAAACACTCTCGGCCTGTCATGGGGTGGGAAGGAGCCACCCAAAGGCAAGATCTCCTTTCTGTTTGCATGTGGAGTATAACTATTCCCTGTGTTCCCAGTGGCTTTTATATTGGGGAAAAATAAACAGCAATGTCTATTCAACATCCAAAGAATTGCTGAATGAATAAAAATGACAGAATATTAGCCTCTGCTGCACATCAAAACCCAGCACTAATGATCAAGCAGAGGGGGACTGAGAGTGATCGTGTTCCAGATGACCTCATGAGAAGGCAGAGCTACACAGCCAGGCAGCTAGAGGTCTCATTTCCAGCACACAGGCTCTCTGCTTCCCCGTAGAGCCCTGCAGGCCACCGAGAGCTTGGGAAACAGAATTTTAGACTCGTGTCTCTGCCAGTCACCTGCACAGAAGTGAGTTCCAGGCTGTTGAATTTTGATGGTTGTCTTTTTCTGCAGGAACTGGCTAACCCTGTAGGAGAAACTTACACTGAATTAACCTTCTTACTCATGTAAAGTACAAGTCCAGCAGAACATAACAAATGGTTCTTATCCCTGACAGGTTGTTCCTGCCGAAGGGCTGGTCTCTATCTTGAAGAAGAGGAATGCCACTGTAGGGGATTCTTCTGCCCAGATGCAACAGAAATCATCCAAGCGAAGAGTGAGGTTCCAAGAAATCGACGATACCTTGGATCAAGGTAAACTACCCAGCACGGGGTCCGAGGCAGAGAGGCTGTGTGGTGTGTGCTGGAAGGATGAAGTGATCTATGATGGGCTGTCTGTGGCAGGGTTTGTGAAAGAATGGGTGGACTCGGTTGCCTCATCTGTCGAGTACTCAAAGAAGCGAATTATCATCAGCTCTGAAATTATGTCTAAGCACTTGGTTTGCTCAAATAAATGGTGAAGTTGCAAAATTCAGCCCTTGGCCTCCTTACCCACCAGCGCCCTCAGTGTTCAGCGCTCATTTTTTCCTCGTTTCGAGTTTCTTTCCTTTCCCTTCAGTGAGATGCTTGTCCTCAGCAGCATCTCAGTGGCACTTAGTACTCCTCTTTATTAGTGTAGGAAATACTTACGAGTTGTAGTATTCCCTCAGGTGATTCCTTTCTTAGTTCTACAGGGAAACAAGTGTTTCTTAAGAGCAGCCATTTGACATGGTTACTGTTGTTTCACTTTCTCCCTCCTGAACCTGTACTTCAGGTGGTTACCAGGTTTTGTTCTGTTTTGTTCTTTTTTAAAAGATCTGTTTATTTACGCATACAAGAGCTGGGCATAAGCCAGAGGGTGAGAGGGTTCTGTCACCTGAGGGGTGTAGTTGCAGGGGCGAGAGGCTTCACCAGAGACAGAGCGGGGAGTGGAACCGGCAGATCGACAGAAATACACTGCTGAGGGGCGCGGCGAGCGGGTCAGGAGAGGTCTGCGGCGCCCTGTGGGTCACCTCCTGGGCGGGGGATCAAACTCGTGCTGCAGCGGCTTGGGAGACTTCACAGTGCTGCGCTTTAACCCGCTGCGCCACCAGGGAGGGCCCCCTCCACAGTTTTTAGCGGATGTGACTGTGTCATTTTATTGACGCGCTGGTGTCCGCCTCAGCGCTTGCAGGCCCCTCTCTGTGGTAACTCACGCGTGGGTCCTCACTGGTCCTTAGGAGCACCTGTTCCCGCAGCCATCCTGCTCCTTAGACTTGTATGGGAAACGCGTGTTGATCCTCACGAGCGCGAAGACGACCGTTGCTAAGATTTCCTTTTTGTGTCACTTTCGCCCTCCTGTCTCACGCTTGCAGATGAAGTTGGCGGTGGCTCCTGCGTCTTACTGCTCCTGCTGTGCGTGGCAACCGTCCTCCTGAGTGTGGGAGGAACTGCACTGTACTGCGCTGTTGGTGATGTGCAGTCGCCCGTCTGCACGGACTTTGCAGAGAACACGGCCTTCTACTACACTCAGCTCCTGCAGGGCCTGGCGGAGCTCAAACACTGGGTCTACCTCTCCTAGCTGCGTCCCGCGGCGGCATGGGCTTGCTGCAGTGAGACTCAAAGAGTGGGGCTTTCTAGACTTTTATTTCAGGAGGTCTGGGACACCCTCCCCACCCTGAGAAACCACGGGTCCCACCAGTAGCATCTTTAAATGGCCACCCGAAGGACGCTTGAGGTCATTCGCACACGGAGGCCTGTGTCCATGAGCGCTGCGGAAGGAAGGAGGGAATGGCCTCTGGAGCGCGTGTCTGTCCCACCTCCTCACCGCTTCCTCGTGGGGTGAGCTGCCCTGAGCAAAACCACACAGGGCGGTGCTGGAGCCGCACCATTTGGCCCCCTTGCCAAGCTAACGGTAAAGGCCAGTTCGGTTTACACTTATTCTCCCAAAGACACTGCTTCCCGCCGTCATGCAATAAGCTGGTGTGTCATCAAAAGGCGTTACCGTAAGATTCAGTGTCTTTTTTTTTTTTTTTTAGTGAACCCTGGGAGCTGTGCAACTTAGGCTTTGTGCATTATTTCCAGATTCTGTTGTCCATTCGTGAAACGGTTGCGTATGGGCGAACGTTGTGCTCCAGACGGTCACATACCCCACCCAGCATACTGAAGAGTCTCTTTATTCTTTTAATTGACAAAGAATGTGCAGGCACAAACCTTTGAAGATGACTTAACTGTAGAACAGATAGATGAATTACGTAAATCATGGCCCTAGCATGAGGAATTCTTAACAGATCTGTAACAGTTCACTTGATTCGCCAGAAATTAATCACAGACCTAGAGGTGACATTCAAGAGCCCCCTCAAAGTCTCAGGCAGGCAGGTTCATCATGGAGTCGCTGCTTCCTGAAATATGCCGAATGCTGGGCTCAGTTCAGCCAGTACCCAGAGCACCTGTGCTATTCTGATGTCCAAAAACCAGAATACAAAGATAAGTAAGGTTTCTGCTCTAGATGTTTTCATTCTGGTCTTTTGTAAAATAAATTAGTACTTTGGGAAATAACAGTTAAGTCACCACATGTCTAATTCAGTGTTAACAGATCATGCATTCAGGTGGTTGAATGTCCATTCGTATCATGGGCTCGATTTAGACCTATTAAGGGTCATTCAGCGAAAATTCAATCATATTTTAAATAGGCAAAGTCTGAGTTTTCTTGAGTTCATCGGTTAGATGGCATTTCGTTTTCTGAGATACAGTGGTCTCACATTTTAGGAAGCCTTGGTCTGGCTTTTTATATCATAAACAACATTTAAAAATTAAACCAAACACATGAATTATAGTTTTTTAGCAAGTGATCAGATCATGTTTCTCTGCCATGGTCATTAGAAATGAAAAGGGAACTTTCACTTTCTAGTTGTTACTGGCTGGTACAGTACCTCCCTTTATGTTTCTGCTTATTTATTTAGATTATATAAATGTGAAAGGGCTTTTTCTATAAGTTGAAAGTGTGTTTTTGAGCATGCATTTGGTTACCCCAATGTAGATATTTGATTACTCTGTACTTACAACTTTGATTTTCTATCATTTCAGTTCAGTGTGTTTTTAGGCTTGTTTATTTTTAAATTGATGTTTTATTTTCACTTATAATACTGTTTGACGTGTCCCTACCATGTCACGATAGACCGATATTTTCAAGGATGATAGATGGAAGATATTTATTTAGAAGCATACAAGATACTGAAATTTAGATTCCTTATACTTAAGGCTGATTTTATTAGAAGATTATTTTAATGTTCTATTATAAATTTTAAGAATTTGTATTCAAATTGTATGTAAAATATGTAAGATGTCATGGTACTCTCGATCTGATGTGGTTCTATAAAACACATTCACAAACCGACTGTGAGGTGTACCCCCATCCTAGATGAACCTCTCTGCCTTGCCCTCGTGACCTGTAGTTACAGAAAGCTGATGGTGATGTCTGCTGGCTCTGGTTCGAGATAAGTTAGAACTTCCCTCCTGCTCACCGCTTTTAGGCTCTGTCGAGGTCCTGAGCACTCTATCATGTCACATTCTCCTGTAGGTCAGTAGGTCATCACTTCTGACACCAGTTTCTGGCAACCTTCACACCGAGACGAAAGGTTGAGAGAATACTCTGAGTTCTGGAAAGCCCCACGTGTCCTCACCGCCTCCCAGGGGGCAGGGTGCCCCCAGAAACACACCAGTGTAAAACCGGCATGAAACCTCAACTAGGAAAAGTAGGGCAACTTTTGAAATGTTAAAATAGTTAATGCATGACTTGGAGTCATTACTTCTGGTGATGAAAGAACTGTTAGCTCATACAGAGAAAATTCATTCCGTTTTACTATCATGTCGTTTTTTCATCATTTGAAAGTACTGACAACTCTTTGTAACTCATCTTCCTTAAGAACTGTATTGGAGGGCCACAGATCAAGCTTGCGATTTAAAATCTACACCAAAAAAGTGTCTGAGACAGCTTATTTGTACTCACTGGGACTGCAAAAAAAAACTGCTTTAGAGTGAAAGCAAAATAATTTTAGAAGTTGGCCTGGCCCCACAATGGCTGCTGATTTTGAGAAGTCTGACAGGTCTCCGTGAAGGACCATTGCTTCTAGAACACTCCCCCTCCCACCCCCAGTCAGTCTGACACAGTAGCTGCAGTTGCTCCAAAAATCCATTCCTCTAGGTTAAAACTCAGAATCCTCTGGGAAGTTTACTTGACAGAATGGTGCGTTGTTTGCTCATTACTGAGTGGACATGAAGTTTGAAGGTGGGCTTATTTTGAAAGGACAGTGTGACTCGGGCCTTGTTAGAGTGGCAGGAGTGGAGAGGGGTAAGAACGGTGGTGAGAAAGGTAGAGCACAAGGAAATACTTCAGTCACTTGTGTTGCTGAAGCTGCTTTTGGCCGTTGCTCCCAGTACAGAGAGAAGCTGCATTATTGTGTCTGTCCACAGGTGTCGCCTACCACTTCTTCTTTTCTCTGGGCTCACTGCTTCTCTTTGCTGTGGATATTGTGTCTTCACGTGTATCTGATGTTCAGATGAGTTTCTCACACCCTCACGTCCAGGTCTTGTAACTCCCGAGTGCTCCCACTTACCTTTCTGTGATGTCACCACCCCATCCTCAGAAGGAATAAGAGTGATTCTGGAGTTTGTGTCATCTTTGGTTTAACATCCTGAGAGAAATGGCTATTGATCCTCACGAACTGACGAGCCCCATGAAAGTTACTCTGAGTTGACATTTTCCATAAGGAAACCTAACACCGTTTAAGTCTCCTTGGGTTTCGGCAACTGAAAGGAAAAGTGTGGTAACGTAGGGGGATCTCTTCTCTCTGGTCACGCTACACTCCACACTCAGTGTTTTGTCTGTCGCCCTAAGGTCAGCGCAGAACCAAGAGCCGCAGTGTTCATCGCTGCCTGTCCCAACAAAAATCCCAATGTCATTGGTACATCTTGCACTGAGCTAAGTGCTGTGACTCCAGAAACAAGGAATGGGACCAGTTTCCCGAAGATCACATCTGGCGGGTTAAGTGTGTAGGGGAAGGGGAATGAGAAGCAAGAAAACAGAGGTCATGCTACGTGTGGGGTGGAAACATGAGCTCATTTTTACCTAGCAGGTGTCATGCACTCTTTGAAATAAAGATAAATCTATTCCTAGCAACTTAATAGTCTTTATTTTCTTGCCTCCAAATTTCTAGCCACTATCCTCACGCCTCGTTAGCACTGTAGCATCACTGGTGGGCTGTTCTGAAGCAGCTCAACAGTCGTAAGTAACAGCTTCTTCAAAATGGGCAGTCTGAACAGCACAGTAGAAAACAGTAGAAACAGTAGAAAACCTCAAACTCCAGATTCTTCACCACGAAATTCCAACCATCATGTGAGAAATACAAGACATCCCACAAAGAGAGGGAATAATAGTTAACTAATTCTTTCTAGGTGATGAATATTACTCTGATACCAAAACCTGACAAAGCTAATTAAGTTCTGAATTTTGAAACAAAGATCTGTAACAAATACTGGTAGCTAACCCTAAGAATATATAAAAAGAATCCTGCATCATGACAAAGTGGGACTTACCCAGGAATACAATGTTGGTTTAACAGAAAGTCACACAATGTAATTCACTATTTCAATAAAAACCATATGCCCATATTGATTTGGTGATGGGAAACCCAAGGAGATTGCAACTGAAATGGAAAAATGCACAAAAATATGTAAAAAATAAATTATTATAAAATTTTTTTAAAAACCATGTGCCCATATCAATAAATGCATAAAATTGATACACTGTTCATGAGAAAAAAACCCTCATCAAACTAAAACTAGAAATGCACTTTATCAACTTGATCTAGGATGTTTCTGATAAATCCACAGCTGAATATCAAGTCCTTAATAAAAATCAAATACTTTCTTCCTAGTGGTGTGAGCAAGGCAAAATTGTCCACTGACTAATTCTATTCAATATTCTATTTCCCTGTGCAGCAGTAAGAGAAAGCATAAGAAATGTTTAGATACTTCACTTGTACAAAACTCAACCACTACTTATTGTGGTGTTGACAAGGTTGCCTGTTCAAAATGTCTTGCTTTGAGTCCTAATTCTGTTCACAGAACTAGGTCCCTCTAGTTCCTTCTGAAATGTGCTGGTGAAACCATGCCTTGTTTCCTACCCAAGGTTGCAGTCCAAATTCCAAACCCAATCTAATTATAGATATTCTGTAAGAACAACCCCATCTCCCTCTGCCCGGAATGCATTGATCAAAAATGAAGTTTTGTGATTTCATTGCTTTTCTTAATTGCCTTGGATCAAAAGTCAGGAACAAGATACCCACTTAGGGAGCAGAGAAGGCTCTCATTAGTCATCAAAATGACGACAACCCATAAGTGGCTGATGCTTTTTTCAGTGAAAGATTGGGGGTGGACAGGATCTGTACAAACAAACAAACAAACAAACAAAAATCTTGTCTACTGGTCTTGATGGGACTTGATCCAAAAGTGCCTAAATAAAGACAATATGCTTCCCCACCGCCCACCCACCCCCCATTTATTTTTGTCCTGATTGGAAAAACTAAATTACTGGGATAGGAAATATCTTTTAGCCAACCCTGCACAGGAAACTCCAGATTTTAGAGACAAGGGGACAGTCCCCAGAGTTGAAATCTCAGTGAAGAATGAGGCCACATCAGTCGCTGCTCAGCCTTCTCTCTGGACTGGGGTTTCCCCTGCTGTGTACTTCCCAAGGCTAACTTTGAACTTTAAAGTCCTCTGATTCTTTGGGTACCCCAAAGTGTTCCATTTTCCATCACTTAGAAAAGACAACTTGGACTTCTGTATTTGTTGAGCTAATGCAATAGTTGGATTAGGTTGGATGGGGTTTCCTCGAAACTGTCCATGGAAGTAAGAGGCATCATATAGGCACTGAGGCGTGGACCTGGAAGTGCTCATACCCAAGACCTGCCGTGGGTGGTTCCTTCTCAACAAATCTCTACTCTGTTCTATCTTTCTGCAACCTATTGCAGCTGGCTGGAGGGAGGAATCCGAGCCCTAAGCATTCCTGCAAACCTGAGCATAAGGGAGGAGAGTGATGTAGGCGAGATGAGGTCCTCTGGGAAGTGTTCGTCTCCAAAACAACAGTAGCTGCCTGACCGGGTCAGATCGTTTGAATATGGGGCAGTCTATACCCGACCTGAAGGAAGCAACAGGAATCTAACAGGATCTGGACAGCATGGGGCTCCGGAGCGCACGAATGGCAGAGCCTCTCGACCCACGGGCTGGGAAGTCTGACCCTTGGAGTCGCAGAGACCCATAACCCAAACAACCAGCTCCCAAGGTGGAGAGGAGCAGCCTTGGCTATGAGTGCTGCTCCCTGGGGGCCGCAGGCTCGGTCTGGGTCTGTGCAGACCCAGAGCCCTGACTTTTTCAAATCATGTTCTTTTAGAATTATCCGGCGATGTGGACACTGTCTGGCTTGCATTTTGGTGTCAGGAGTGAAGGGGGCTCCAGGGTGTTTCAGTGACTCCCTTAAGGTCAAGATTAACACAATTAATGGAGGTTTTCCACTTAAATGAGAAAGAGTCAGTTCTAAAGAACATTCTCCTGCGGTTGCCACTGCACCCTGCTCCTTCTGCTCTTTTGTCACCCCCAAGTCTGAGCTCTCCACTGCTTCCCTGTCTTACTCCATGGCTGCAAGCCCCGGGCCTGGGAGGGGTGTGTGCAGCCGCCCTGTGCTTGCGTGAGGAATTCTAGGGGGGCCCAGCAGAAAACCAAGGATGTCCATCCATAGCAGACCGTCGATGGCACACTCGGGGGGGGCCTAGACATGCAGATAAAATTCAGGGTGCTCAGTTATTGAGACGCACGTATAATGAAAACGCAAACATAACTGGAAATGCTCCTATTTTTTGTTTGCTGAATCTCGTAACCTTATCAGGGTCACAGTGAAGTACAGACTGAGGGCCGGAGGGGATTAGACAGGGGTTCTGGGGAGCAGCTTCCAGCTCCCTTTTCTGGATTTTTTTTTTTTTTACAGATTTGTTTATTTATTTATGCACACAGAACTGGGGCACAGGCCAGAGGTGGGGTTGGGGGATGAGAGGACTCCCCAGAGACAGAGTGGGGAGCAGAACAGGCAGATGGGTGAAGTACACTGCTGAGAGGAGCAGTGGGGAGACAGGGGGGTCTGCTGTGCCCTGTGGGTCACTCCCTGGCCTAGAATAGAACTCCTGTTGCTGTGGCTGCTGATTGCTTCACAGTGCTGCGCTTTAACCCGTTGGGCCACCAGGAAGGGCCCTCCTCTCCCCTTCCCTCCCCTCCCCTCCCCTTCCCTCCCCTCTTCCTCCCCTCTTCCTCCCCTTCCCCTCCCTCCCCCTCCCCTTTCTGGATTTCTCAAGTACCCCTGGGCTCTGAGTCCCAGACAGGCCATCAGCACAGCTGTGACATCCATGTGTCTACAAAGGGGCAGAATGTGGTCAGATCTCAGAATCTGAATTCATTAAACTGTTGACATTCACAAGAGAATGTATTCAAGCTTAGAATGTCATGCAAAAAACTCCTTCCCGGCTCCACCTGAGGCGGAAGCGCTTCCCGGTGCGCCCTGGGTGTGTCTGTGCTGGTGCCCGGCACACTGAGTCATCCCAGACTTTTTTTTTTTTTTTTTTTTTTTTTCGGGTCCCCCCAGCCAGCAGCGCTAGCCGGAGTCGTGGCTAGAGTCCAGTTCATCTTAGCTTCTAGGCCTTTGTTTGCTGCCGGTACCTGGCCAGCACACGCTTTTCATTCCTTCTGGCGTGAGAAAAGATGCCTGGGGGGCGTGTCCCTAGGCTCAGCCTTCGCCTGTCTTCAGCAGCTGCTGCCTTCTGCCTTCTGTTTCCACCCTGAGACCAGCTTCGGGTGATGAGCGCTATCCTCTCCTCTCACTTGACCCCCTCTTCGACAGCAAATCCCATTTTCTGTTTAACATGATTACTCACACATAGGAGCCCACGGCCACCTGCTGGCTTCCCTCGGGGCTGAGCAACAGCTTGGCCACCGTGCAGAATGAGCCCAGGAGGTAGAGGCCCCAGCTGTGCGGGCGGATGCCCGGCTCAGGACGAGCTGATGGGGGTCCTGGGAAGGACGCCCCCCCCAGCCACTAGGTCAAGGCAGGTCCTGTTAGGAGGCACAGGCAGTGCCAGGGTCACCTACAAGGCCCTGGGCTTGGCGAAGGAAAAAGCATGTAAGAGGAGAAGGAAAAGCCATAAAATAGAATTTTAGAGATCATTGATTTCTGTGATGACTAGGAGATGGACATTTTCCTCCATCCAGCTAGTTACTGCTTGAACCAGTAGGTCAAGAATTTGAATTACACAAAGCTAATAGAAAACACTGAAATGGTAGGAACAAAATCACACCCCACGAGCCTCCGACGGGGAGGATGAAAGGCCCAGACTGCAGAAAGCTCCCAGGCCTCACCCAGGCAACAGTCTGCCCCAGAGGCCCAGAGACCGGCCTGGGGGCGAGGAACCGCCCACATCAAGCTCTGTGCTCTCAGCTGCCTCCCCAGCTTAGTGCAGGGGCCCCCACCCGCCCACCTCCCTCGCCCTCCCTTCCTTGGCCTCCTCAGGCCCCACAGCTAATGGTTTTGCTTTTTCCTCAACATTATTTTCCACAGGATTTTTAGTTCTTCTGTAGAATACGATGGTGAAATGGAAAAAAGAAAGTTGTTATTTCAGCGCCACATCTGGACAAGACCCAGGTGGCCAAGGAGCGGCCGCAGTCTTCAGGCCCCGGGTGCCTTCCTGACACGCCAGGCCTTGCCGCCCACCGTCCCAAGGAGTGGTTTGTGGGTACACCAGTGTGGAAACCATGCGCTCTGCTGGCCGCGGAGCGAGAGCAGGGCAGGAAAAGTCTTCAGAGCGATCTCCCCGTCCACTGCTGCGTTTTCTGAGTCAGTTAATCCCGTGAAGCCACTGAGAAGTGGGGGGCGGGGGCCTGAAATCCGCAGGTGAGGGTGAGGATGTGCCACGCACTGTTTTTCCGATTAACCAACTCGTGCCGGCACAATTATCGACAGGCCAATTCAAGGCCCATCCGGGTGGCCGCTCAGTCACCGGGGGTCGCGGCTGGCCCAGGGTGCTGGAGCAGGTCCCCCTTACGCTGAAGAACCCTGGGGGCTCACAGGGCGGGCTG